ATGATCTTGATATAAACCGGCCCAAGGCTGTTATCCACCCGGTCAGCCGCTGTACGACCTCTACATTATTTACCACTGTAATTTCTTCGATGGCTTTGATTTTATCGGGGTTGATCTCGATTCCTCTATTCGATACCATGAAGCCTAAGAAGTTGCCCGATCCTACCCCGAAGGCACACTTCTCGGGATTGAGTTTCATGTTGTAACTTCTGAGGATGTCGAATGTTTCCTGCAAATGAGTCAAATGGTCCTCTATCACAGGGACTTAACTAGCATATCGTCAATATAAACTTCAATGGACTTGCCTATTTGATGTTCGAACATTTATTAACTATGCGCTGATATATGGCCCCTGCATTTTTTTAGCCCGAAGGGCATTATATTGTAACAGTATGTACCGTACTTCGTGATGAACAAAGTCTTTTCTCTATCCTCGGGGTTCATTTGAATTTGATTATACCCTGAATAAGCATCGAGAAAAGTAAGGGTTTCATGGCCAGTCGTGGCATAGATCAATCGATCAATGTTGGGCAGTGGGAATGAGTCCTTTGGGCATGCCCTGTTTAGATCTTTATAATCTACGCACATTCTTAGTTTATTCCCTTTTTTAGGGACTACCACCACATTGGCCAGCCATTCGGGATATTTTACTTTCCTAATAGACCCTATCTTGAGGATCTTCGTTACCTTGTCTTTGATGAATGCATGGTTTACCTCGGACTGGGGCCTCCTTTTTTGCTTTACTGGTTTGTACCTGGGGTTGACACTCAGTCGATGGGTAGTTATCTCTGGTGGGATCCCTATCATTTCTAAGTAGGACCAAGCAAAGCAATCGATGTTGTTAATAAGGAATTAAATGAGCTTTTTCCTGAGTTCGGGGGTTAATCCCGTCCCCAGGTATACCTTCCAATCTGGGAGATGCTCGACCAAGATGGCTTGATCCAGCTCTTCGATAGTCAACTTCGTTGCATCTGATTCTTCGGGGGCAACGAAGGTTCTGGGAGCGAGGAAATCCTTTTCATCGTCCTCGTGGGTTTGTTGGCTTTTCGACTCCTCCAAGGCGGATTGCACAGAATTCGGTACCTCTTCATGGATCATGAACATTTCCTTTGTTGCATGTTGCTCTCCGTATATCGTCTTAATTCTGTCATTTGTCGGAAACTTTATCATATGATGGAGGGTCGATGGTACCGCCTTCATGTTATGTATTCATGGTCTACCGGGCAAGGCATTGTACCTTGTATCACCTTTAATGATGTGGAACCTGGTATCTTGAACTGCATCCGATATGTTAACCGGGAGAGTGATTTCTCCTTCTTTTGCTTCGCCGGCCATATTGAAGATGTGGAGGATTCAGGAGGTAGGTATGATCTGATCAAGCAATCCGAGCTGCTCTACCACCGTCGATCTAATTACGTTGGCCGAGCTACCTGGATCCACAAGTACACATTTAATTTGGATGTTATTTAAGAGGAACGAGATTACCAGTGCATCATTATGTGGATGAGACAAAGTCTCAAAGTCTTCTTCGCTGAACGTGAGGATGTTCTCAGATGCCCGACCCCGAGTTTGTCCTTGTGTTGCCGCAGAAACCTTTATCCGCTTAATTGCGGGTCCCTAGGGAACTTCGGTCCCCCCGTTAATCATATGAACAGTGTGCTGAGGTTTTCCCATTTTGCTTCCCCTATTTGCCTCTTTCTTCCCAAGTGGGGTTTTTCCAAGTGTCTTATTGATTTCCTCGGCGCATACTCCTGTTGGTGTGGGAACTTATGCCAACATGTTGAGTGTTGCGCGAGACCACATTCGTGAGAATTGGTTCTGGTGCATTCTCAGGGTTTCGTGATGGTACACCAACACCTGGAATATCCACATCATTTTCTCCATGGTCTTCAAGGTTGTTGTTTTCACGTGCATTTACTGAGTTAGAAATTTTGACCTGAAATCAAAGATCTTGGACAAGAAAAGGTGTGAAAGGTAACTTACGTTATGTAGTAAGACCATAAGAAAATAATCACTATTATTTTTAGCCTCACGGTGGGCACTAAACTGTTTACCTAAAAAATGGTATTACAAGATCTATTTTTATGCTAGTTGTTAGGCAATTGATGCTAAGTGAAAGACTTGGAAACAAGATAATAGCTTGAAAATAATGAAATAACCAAACCGAATGGCTAGTAATTGAGGCCTGGAGCTGGTATATGCGGGCCTCGAGGTCGAGTCGGATGCTCGGCTAGGGGCAATCGAGGGGGGATTAACAGTTATGATAGCTTTGATGGAAGCCTTTTATGACCAATAATGAGCAATAAATGAAGAACAATAAATAGAACACAATGAATATAAGCAATAAATGTAAGTAATGAGATCAAGAGAATATGTTAGAGAGCAGAGATAATGTTCTTGTATATTCAATATTGAGCATCAGATCCCTTATAAAATGACAAGGGTCCCCTTTATATATGAGGAGGAATCCCAACATAGTACAAAAGCATGTGTTATTATTACATAAAGTAGCTGGTACAACCACTCAATCAGCCTGGTATAGACTATCACTATTTGCGCAGGCGTTTGTCAGAAAATACAGCTCCTAGGGAACTTCCCGCTTATCCGCGACAAACACCGGTCCATTCTGCCCCGATACCGGGCGCAAAAACTCCCCAAAGGCATCGAACCCCAGGCAATCCCCCGGGACCTTCGAGGCGAGATTGCGCAATGCCTTGTCGATTGTAAAATTGGTCTTCCTGATTTTAGCCGTATAGACTTATGCTGGCAGATGCCAACTGATCAAGGCTGTTATTTTTGGCATTCAAACCTATTGGGCACAGATTTTTGTTCTTCTAAAGAAGGTTATGAAATTAATTGAGGCATTATGCAGAACTTTCCTATGGACTGGTACTGCTACTATCTCTAAGGGAGCATTAGTGGCATGGGAGAAAGTGTGCAGGCCAACAAATGCTAGAGGACTCAATATACTGGAGATCAAACTGTGGAACAAAGCAGCAATCATAAAACATTTGTGGGATATAACAAGAAAGAGGGACTGCTTATGGATAATATGGGTGTATAGTTTTTATATAAAGAACAGAAATCTGAAAACAATGGCTACACCTAAGTCTGAATCTTGGGTGGTGAGGAAGATACCAAATGATAAAAGTTTGATTATGGAGCACCAACAACTTCAGGGTGGCACTCATAGCAGACTAAAGTCAATATGCACTGACACAAAATTCTAGATAAAACAGATGTACTTGAAGCTGATACCAACATACCCCAGAGCTGAATGGAAAAGTTTGATGTTGCATACCAATATACACCTAAGATACAGATTCACTATATGGCTTGCAGCACAACAGAGGCTAGCTACAGTGGAAAGATTATTAAAGATTGACATCCAAATTCCTGCAACATGTGCATTTTTGTGGACATAGCCTGGAATCCTTTAGCAACCTGTTGTTTGAGTGCACCATCACAAAGCAACTACGGTCCAGACTATGTTCATGATTGGGATATAATAAGAGCATTGAGGATTGGAAAACCGAGTTGGAATGGGCATGCAAGAAAGCCAAAAGCAGAAAAGGAACAAATGCAATTACTAGTTGTGTGCTTGCCATGATTGCTGCATTGATTTGGAAAGAGAGGAACAGAATCAGATTTTAACAAGCTAAATTTAAGGATCTCCATATCTGCAGGGAGATAGTACTGCACATACATATCAGAGAGAAGAACATAGTCAAGTAGAAAGAAGCATTGCAATAACTGAATTGGGTTCCATAGATAAGTAGAATGAGCAGTAGGAATCCTTGCTGTAGTTGTTTTAAAACAAGTGTCTGTATTGAAATATAGTGTAGGATAGATAGACACAAAATTGATAGTAGGAGATGGTGATGTATATCTGGAGTAGCCTGTCAAAGCTGCTCCTTGGACTCAACTGTACATATCTTTTGAGTATTAATAAATATAACCTTAACTCAAAAAAATAAAAAAATTACCAGCTGCAGTCGTGTGGTGGCTTTTACTAAATAGTTGACTTCTTATGAAAAAGATATACTTAAATTAATGAGTTGAGATAGATAAAGTAAATAAGATGCTGGATTCGTCGAAGAGACAACAATAACTTCAATGGTATGGATAACAACAACAATATATTTAATATAATTTCACGCGTGGGGTCTGGGGAGGACAATGAGTACGCAAACTTTACCCCTATCTCGAGAGGTAAGATCAACGGTATGGATGTTTTCTCTAAAAAAAAATTAAAGGAGAAAAGTAGGTGTATGTTTTAATTATTGCTATTTCTTACAAAAATAAAATTAAAAACATCACATCACAGTTTTTATATGGACCACGTTGGCCCAAAAAAGACACACTACTGATCTGTGCTAGATTCCATGGAAGGAAAAGATCAAAGGTTGATTCTGTCAAGACAACAATTTTTATCATTGTAATTCATAATTTAATAAAGTTAAAGTATATCATACTACTATGATGTCTCACATTCAAACATTAGTTGATAAAACACATTAGGTAATTAGTAGACAAAAATATCCGAAAATATCAAAATTTTGGTAAATAAAATTATTCGGTATCTTTATACTTATTATGCGCAGGGCGAAGCTAGAGTTTCGGAAGCACGTTTGGCCAAATCCTATAGCTTTGGTCCAAACTCTGTATTTGCCTTTAAAAATTCATTAAATATGTAAAAATTATTAATTTAGAACCCAATAACTTATAATCAATAAGCACCCAAAACCTAGTGATCAATGAAGTGGGTGCGAACTATGAGGTCTCAGGTTCAAATCCCAGCGGAGGCACACTAGGTGATTTCTTCCCAGCCTTGAGGTAACATGTATGAGCTGTCTAAAATTTTTTAGTTTATGAAAAAATATAACATAGAATAGAAAATATAATACAAAATCTAATTTATTAATATTGTCATTAATTATATAGTAACTACTATTATAAGGCTAAAAAATGTTCTGTGAATGCGAGGGGGGAAATTAACNCGCCCCTCCAAACCATCGACCCCACGACTAGCCTCAACTTCTTCCCCTGTAAACCAGGAAGCCACTGCCACTCTCTTACATATGCCATCTTCCAATTCCATCCCCAAATGCTAAAGATAATTGCTTAATTTCCCATTTTCCCATCTTCAATCTGCTTCTTGAGTTTTCAGCTTCTGCTAGGTGGGTCTGCATGTATTTTTCTTTGTTTCTTCCTGTCTTTTTTAGATCTGTGTTTGTTAGGGTTTTCAAGAATATGCCCCACTTGTATGTTACATATAACATATTTGGGTAATTTCAAGATTTAGTTTTGATGTCATGGAGTTGGTAATTTTTGCCATATAGGGTTAATTGGGGATGGGATAAAATTTGCTATACAATTGAATTTGCTATACAAGTTAGCTCCTTTTCATTTCTTTAGGGTTTTGGTACTATTTTGATAATTTCTCTTTTGATTTTTCCCAATTGGAGTAATAAAATGTGCCAATTTTAGCATAAGGGCCAAATGAAGCTTTAGCCCAGTGGTTAACAAGTTAAGGTGGAGGTACTAAGATCAAGATGTCTTAGGTTTGAATTTTTATTCCCATCAACATTTGGGTTTGTGTCCAATGTATTTGTTGGTATTCTTTTCTTTCCACTAGCGTGTGAAAAAGGGTGTTGATTCGTATCAGTTGGCAAGTTGTGTATTGTAAATCATCCAACTGCTTGGCATAAAGAATTTAACATAGTGGGAGTTAAATCCAATTGCTTATTATTCATGTCTAAAGAATTTCTTCATCAAAATATATTGTTATTTGAAGGTGTTATTAAGTACTTTTAGGCCATCCGGAAATTCTACCTCTTTTAATTATCACGGAAGGCATACATGTTGTTTTAAGTGGAAGTTACGTTTTGATTCCTTACTATCACCTTGTCAGCTTGAGACAGCTCGACAATTAAGCTCTCTGTAACTACTAGTATATGCACCTTTAATAGATGAGCTTGGCAGTTGTGCGTTGTGCTTCCCAAATTATCCTGGCCTCAAAGGGAAATTCCATTTCGAAAATTATTGCAAATTTATTAACTACTATCAATTTTATATTCTTTTTTGGGTCATTACTGGAAGGTACCTTTTGGCATTGTTTTGTGTGCCCTTTCCAGATGATGAATTTCTGATTCGCCTCAAAATTCTCATGTTGATAGGAAAATGGATGGATCAACAGTCCAAAGCAGCAGCAGTGTGGACTCATTTTTACGGAACTATAAGCTCGGGAAAACTCTTGGCATTGGATCGTTTGGCAAAGTTAAAATAGCTGAACATACCCGAACTGGGCACAAAGTTGCTGTCAAGATTCTTAATCGCCGAAAAATCAGGAACATGGACATGGAAGAAAAAGGTATAGGAAAATAGGGAAATGCAGTCCCTCTTTCTCTCACTATCCAAAGGATATGGACAATGTCTCTCCTTTTTTCCCTTTAATTTTAGAAGGAAAAAAAGAAGCAAAAGGTGGTGGTTTTTGGGTTTTTTTTTTTTGGTGTGTGTGTGTGTGTGGGGGCAACTTGTATCTTTATTATGATAAAAGATGCATTCACCAAAGTTTTAGAATTACGACAAACCTGTGTGAAATATATAGCTGATTTTGGCACTATAGCCAAAACAATTCCTATTTTGACTATCCCCTTCTCTATTACTGTGTTCTCATATGCAGGAATATGTTAGCTGGTTTTGTAGCAAGTTCTTTTTCTCCTTCTCTACTTTGGGTTGTGGGGCTTACTTCCTAGACCAATGGTAGTGGTGACTAGCCTTTTAGGTCGTTTGGCAACCGGAAGGTTGCAATGAGTCAGTAAGATTGGGGGACCAAAGTCAGTTCTCTGTGCATGGACACATAACGTACTTAATCAGTTGCTACATGGGTTCAGACACCCTGTTTATAGCATCCTCTTCTGCTGAGCCTAAAATATCTATTTCTGCTAATATTTCACATTTTTCTATTTATGGTTCTTAAATAGCTATATTTCAACAAATCTTCTTTTTCTATGGCATTACATCTATGATCGTAGGAGCACTGGCTTCCATGGCCCAAGTGAAAGTAAAGGGAATTCTAGCTCATAGTTCAATAGGATATGTAGGTTATATTCGTACTGTTTTTTCATAAGGAAACATTGAAGGAATTCAATCTCTGCTCCTTCTACCTATATCGCAGTTGAAGCACCTAAAGGAGAATTTGGTGTCTTTTTGGTCAGTAATGGAAGCAATCGTCGATGAAAACTGATGTTTAACCTACTATTCGGCATGTTTGTTGCTTTATCATTCCTCCTCCTTTAGCTTTCTTCTTCTTTTTTCTTTTTCTGTTATGTCTTTTCAGGAACCCATATAAGTTGGTAATTACACTGTCGCCTGATTTTATATGGGATTGAACTTTTCTTCCACTTAAACTTAACGAAAGGAAGAAAAATGTTCGCTTTTCGTGATTAAATTTTTTTTTCCCTGTTATGAAGAAAACCTTTTATTCTTTCTGACACAAAGGTTGCAAGAAACTCCATATTCAAACTTTAGATCTCAAATCTCTAGGCGCTTGCATTTTGATTAGACTAGTTCCCTATGGGTTTTACCTTGATGGAGAATGATTTTGTTCTCAATGATTGATGATTACTTCTTCTTGGTTCTGGGTTGCAATTATCGATTTTATGCTTTTTATGGATGTCTGGACTATTTAAAGAGTTTATATTGCTGACATTTTGCAGTGCGAAGGGAAATCAAAATATTGAGATTGTTCATGCATCCTCATATTATACGGCTTTATGAGGTAATAGAGACACCTTCAGATATATATGTTGTGATGGAATATGTGAAATCTGGCGAGCTGTTTGATTACATTGTTGAGAAGGGCAGATTGCAGGAGGATGAAGCTCGTAATTTTTTTCAGCAGGTGGATGTCCCACTTACTTTCCTGAGTTTTATCATGCTGTTTAACTATTTTTAAGTAGTGATAGTATTCTAATTCTTCTAAAAAGCAGATAATTTCTGGTGTTGAATACTGCCATAGAAACATGGTGGTTCATAGGGACCTTAAGCCCGAAAACCTCCTTCTGGATTCCAAATGGAATGTGAAGATAGCAGATTTTGGTTTGAGCAATATCATGCGTGATGGTCATTTTCTGAAGACAAGTTGTGGAAGCCCGAATTATGCTGCCCCAGAGGTACGGAAGCTTCTGATAGGAGTTAATAGCATTTACTTTTTGTGGTTCAGCCCTTTACTGATTGAATTTTTTTCATTGTGGTTCAGCCCAATACCTAGAGCGTATGCTGCATTTTGTCACCTGTCAGCATTATTTCTTCAAAAAAGTGCTTCTCGTGGTCATTACATTTTTTTTTCTGTAGGTTATATCAGGAAATGTGGTTCAGCCCTTTACTGATTGAATTTTTTTCATTGTGATTCAGCCCAATACCTAGAGCATATGCTGCATTTTGTCACCTGTCAGCATTATTTCTTCAAAAAAGTGCTTCTCGTGGTCATTACATTTTTTTTTCTGTAGGTTATATCAGGAAAATTATATGCTGGCCCTGAGGTAGATGTATGGAGCTGTGGCGTTATTCTTTATGCTCTTCTCTGTGGCACCCTTCCATTTGACGATGAAAACATTCCCAACCTTTTTAAGAAAATAAAGGTATATTTCAATATATTTGAAATCCAGCATGTTAATGTTGATTCTTAATTTGATTTTATCCTGTACTGATTGAGCTGCCCCTTGGCTTGAATTATTGTGTTTCCATATTTGCGATATGGTTGTCGCAAATTCCATTTCATGTGGGCATTCTATTATTTTGGTGGGCCTAAATTGACAACCAAATTTGGCCCCATATCCTAACTTTTAATATTACATACATGATAAGTCAGATATTCTCGTGTAGCTCCACTTTTTGTTGATGAAGCTTGAATATGTTGCTGATTAATCCATCTAACTATGTTGGTTACTAATTGTTTTCCAGTTCTGCCCTTCCAAGCGTTCCCATGTTTAAAAAACAAGTTGTTTACCGCCGATGGGACCCAATCTCATTTTTTTTTTGAAACTTGGACTAGTATGAGAAATACAATTGAAAAAGCAAAAAAGCAAGATCCTCCACCGGAATGAAATTGTTCTCCCTGTCCCTTTCACAAAAATACAGAGATGAGTTTATATATTTATTGAATCCATTGGGGCTGACGGGGCTCGAACCTGCAGCTTCCGCCTTGATATGGCGGTGCTCTAGCCTATTGGGTAGGGGTGTGCTAGCGAGCAAGAAAACGGATAGCACATGAATTACACGATAAGAGTTTTTTCTGTATGAACTGATTGCAGATGATTGTTTAACTGTATACCAATTTGTCTTTAGGGCGGAATATATACTCTGCCCAGCCATTTATCAGCTGGTGCAAGGGATTTGATTCCAAGGATGCTTATAGTTGACCCAATGAAGCGAATGACTATTCCTGAGATTCGCTTGCACCCTTGGTTCCAAGCTCATCTGCCACGTTATTTGGCCGTACCTCCACCAGATACAATGCAACAAGCCAAGAAGGTTAGTTCAAACGTACATCTGACTTATTAGTGATTTGTCTTTTCTGCCATTATGTTTCATATGGTGCAAGTTATATGCGGTGGAATAAACTCAATAATTTTTACCAGATTTCACTTCTTTACTTATCTCACATAAATGGAAGTATTCTGTTCATCAAATGGAGAGTTCCTTTCTTGACTTGACCATTATGTGATGGAAACTCTGAGAATTGCCTTAAATTACTGCTCAGTTAGCTATAGAATCAGCTTAAAAAAATTTCTCCCCTTTTTAGTTGCCATTGTAAATGGTAGAGCCTATTTGTTTATCCCCTATATGCACTGTCCGTCCCCCTCCCCTGCTCCCAGAAAAAAGAGTGAAAAGGTGAAAAGAATGATCAGAATTGCTCATATAATTTTTTTCTCAGTTTGTATAATTTTGCAAAATGTTGTAAGGACCTGAAAATTGGGAAAGTTTACAATTGCTTTGGAAGTTCCTGTTATTAAAGCCACACAAATCTACTTTAGGTAAAAAGATACATGATTTAAAGTTCAAAATAAAGACTTTAAAACAAGTGATCAGCAAGTTTTCCCCCTTGGGACAAGCACACAGTTGCATATCTTGAGAAAAGATCACATTTGTCGTGCTGTCACTACCATGCTTCTTGTGCTAGATACTCTCATTACATGTTGGTCAGATCATCAGAATATCCTTGTTCTTTCAGCCAACTTTTTGATTTATGACTTCCTTGTTCCTTCACCCTTTTGCTTGCAACAAAGTCCCACTCTAGTTTCGCTGCTGTAGTTTTACTCCAGGTCCACTCTGCGAAATACACCCGACAAATATTAGTAGAAATTTTGCAACTAAATATAATTAGGAAATTGCTGTATTCATTGACATGCATGTGATGTGTTGGTGCATCACTGCATCCTCTTTAATTTTTTTTTTCAAATGCTTTTCTTTTCACATTCACTCAAAATCTACTTGTATGATACCTGGGGTCTTTTTGCAGTGAATTCAAGACTTGAAACCTTTTGTACGAACTTTTAGGTCCAAACATGCTTTTATACTAGCAAAATTCTCGCCTAGTCAATTTCTTTTTGAGAATTATTTAATTGCAGATCGATGAAGAGATTCTTCAAGAGGTGGTTAAGATGGGATTTGACAGGAGCAACCTTATTGAATCACTTCGCAATAGAGTCCAAAATGAGGTTCATCATCATTATCAACCATCTACCTTTTCTTTTTTCCTGGACTGTCTGTTTTCCTCATGTTTTTTGTTATATATCAGGGCACTGTCGCATATTATTTGTTACTAGACAATCGCCATCGTGTTTCCACTGGCTATCTGGGAGCTGAATTTCAGGAGTTTGTGGTGCGTCTTTGCCTGTATCCATTGAATAAAGCTACCGTTTCTTTTTGATCTGCTTTTATAAAATGAAGTCACCATCTTGTAATGAGTTTCTTCTCCACGATATGTTGTATCTTTATTATGGTTAATGAGTCCATCAACAAGTGGGGTATGTAGTTGTGATTGATTTTTCTACTTCAGATTTTTTACCGAAAAATATCTGTATAATTGGATATATAAAAAATGCTCTGACAGGAATATGGCTACAATCGAAACAATTCAAATGAAGCTGTTACTTCCCCTGTTGGGCAACGCTTCCCAGGAATAATGGATTATCAGCAAGCTGGTGCGAGACAGTTTCCCATCGAAAGAAAATGGGCTCTTGGACTCCAGGTTGGTTCGTTTTCTCATGCACATAAGCGGACTTTTCTCTCCTTTTTTTTGAATAAGTAAATCATTGTACATTCATACTTATTGATTAAATTAAAAAAGGAGCAAAAGGATGTTATGTTTAACCCGTGAAGGGAGGGAAAGACTTATATTAAAGAGCTTGGTTCTTATTTTCATGATGGAAATTTAATCAAGGTTCTGATAAGCTTTGGGACATCTTGTTAATTCCATTGATAATTATGCACTATTGTGCACATATAGCCTCTGCTAACTGAATGGGTTCTTCGTTTAAACTTTCTAGTCAATTTAGGCCTTTATTCTGTTCAACAGAATGCTATAGATAATTGTCGTTTTGGTTTTGCTGCAGTCTCGGGCACATCCACGTGAGATAATGACTGAAGTTCTGAAAGCTCTGCAAGAACTAAACGTGTGTTGGAAAAAGATTGGTCAATATAACATGAAATGTCGATGGATTCCTAGCGTACCAGGTCATCATGAAGGCATGGGTATTAATTCTATGCACGGGAGTCAGTTCTTCGGAGATGATTCAACCATTACTGAGAATGATGGGGTCTCTAAATTAACAAATGTGGTCAAGTTTGAAGTTCAGGTAATCAAACTTTTCATGGATCATACATCTAGTTTCTGTGAAATCCTTTATATACAGGAGTACACTAATGATGCTTTAGCGTTGAGATAATGTTTAAAAGCATGTTTATCACGAAAAAAAAAAAAAGAATGTTATAATAGAATTGTCAATGTTAATGACATCAACGAAGAATTGGGTGAGAGATAAGTCTGTACTTTCAATAATGAAATATGTTGCACATGATTGGTGGAAGTCTCACTTATTTAATGCCTGTATCGTAAATGCTATTGCGTTTTTTAAGTGCATATCTACATCTATTTTATCAAATGGAGGGGCAGGGATTTCAGGAACTATTGATCTGTATGGATCCTACATTTCTAGCTTACTTTTGCTTGGTGCTTGACAATGTGTTTTAGATACAACTATTTACATAAATAGATTAATCGCTTGTTTGGCCAAAAATGTTTTTTTTGGCCAAAAGTGCTTTTTTACCTAAGCTAAAGTGTTTGGCCAAGCTTTTATAAGGAAGAAAAAGTGCCTTTGAGTAGAAGCGGAAGCAGTTTTTGAGAAGCAGAAAAAGTAGCTTCTTCCCAAAATCACTTTTTTGAAAAGTACTTTCGAGCAAATAGAAGTACTTTTTAAAAGCTTGGTCAAACACTAACTGCTGCTCAAAAGTGCATTTCAAATTAATTAGCCAAATACAAATTGTTTCTCATCGAAAGTACTTTTTTGAAACGGCAAAGGGCCAAATATACCCCTGTACTTTTGGAAAAGGTTTAAATATACCCTTCGTTATACTATGAGTCCAAATATACCCCTACAGTTATACTTTAGGTTCAAATATACCCCTCATTTAAACGGAGGGACACATGTCATCGTCTTGTTGACCAATTTTAAATATCTCCCAATTAATTAAAAAGACTCATACTCATAACCATACCCATTACCCATACCCGAAAAGCAAGCTTCAAAAGCTTCATCAATGGCCGCTACTGCCGTACGATCTGTTATTCCAGCATCGGACGAGGAAGACGAATCTGAAGGCCAATGTGTGCAGACTCCATCCTCAATCGGTGGCCGGTGAGCCATCTCTGCTGGGAAGGCGGTGAATCGTGTGGATGGGTTGTAGGGCTTGGAGATTGGAGGCAAAGGCGGAAAGAAAAAGGAAGTGAAAGAGGAAGAAGAAGGAAGTGATAAGCCTACTCTAGTCGAAGGTTATGTTGTATGAATGTATTAATGATTCGACGTGATAACTCTAATTTTGTGTAAATTTCATCAATAATTTAGTACAGGTAGTATTAGATATGTAAAAGATTGTGTATCTGAAGCTTAAAATGATGGATTTTAAAAAATGGCTGCTATGACTAGAAAGGCTTTTGCACTGATCTAACACAACAACGGTCCACAGGTAAAGGCTTTTGCTTTAGAAATAGTTAAAGAAATTGGAAATACAGTTTGTGTATTATTTCTAATCATAGCAGCCATTGATGACAAGCTTTTGAAGCTTGCTTTTCGGGTATGGGTAATGGGTAATGGGTCTTTTGAATTAATTAGGAGATTTTTAAAATTGGCCAACAAGACGATGACATGTGTCCTTCCGTTTAAATGAGGGGTATATTTGAACCCAAAGTATAACTGTAGGGGTATATTTGGACGCATAGTATAATGAAGGGTATATTTAAACATTTTTCGAAAGTACAGGGATATATTTGGCCTTTTTCCGTTTATGAAAAGCATTTTGAGAAAAACAGTTTTTAAAATAAGCTGACTTTATAAGCTTGGCCAAACAGACTATAAATATCATACAATATCAATTTTTATGATCCGGTAACTCCAGGTTGCTGGTCTTTTGCTGGATTTTCCTCTCTTTATTATTTGGGGGTGGATTGGTAACTCAGAAGAATGGCTTTTTAGGTTGATCTTCAACATTGGAATGAACAAAAATTGGTCCTTCTGTAATCTGAAGATTAAGAACTAGATGGAAAAAATGTTAGTAGGTGATTTCTTCACATTTTCCTAAAGACTTGGCGTGCATTGTTATCCTATACCTATGCTAGTGGGGAAGGTAACATGTACTGGTAGAATAGTCGATTCTATCATTTGGATCAGCTTTTCTTGAGTCTATATTCTTGACTACATCTATGATTTTTGGAATGTTATTGATATTCGAGTTCCTTTGGTTGCAGCTTTACAAAACTAGAGAGGATAAGTACCTGCTTGACCTTCAGAGGGTTCAGGGTCCACAATTCCTCTTCTTGGATCTCTGTGCTGCTTTTCTTGCTCAGCTTCGAGTCCTCTGAAATCCACGAAATAAGGAGCTAACTTGGAAGACTATCGATGTTTTCCAGAAAAGCTCGTGCTTGTATATAATTGGTATACCAGCTCAGTTACTGCATTTGTCTGTTAACAAATTCCACCCTGCTTGGTCAGAGGTGCCTAGCAACTCTTTTTGTTGATTCGCTAGGAGTTCTAGCTACTTTTCTTTTGTGGCATGTTTCTTCTTAACATTGTCAGTGTCTATGGAGTTTCAGTTACCTACACTTTCCACTTATGGATTGAACTAAAGATTCCATTTTGCAAGATGAGCAGTCTCTCTTTGACCCTTGTACTATTAGGATGAATTTACTTATTCCTTCTCCTTTTCCTGATTATTGTTCGACATCCTGAGGATATATTTTCCTCTTTTTTCATTTTTTTTTGGGAATTAACTAATGCAAAAGTATGTACCATTTAATGTAGTGAAGTTGGTCTCTTTGGGGTAACACCATATTTTAGCTGGTGAAAAGAATTGAAAGTGGAAAAGTTGGATTTAGTACATTTGGAACAAAAGCGGAAGGAAAATGAATGATAATGAGGGCTAAAAATCCTTCATTTACTTTAATGACAAACCTTGATTACCCAAGTGGAACGTGTCATGTAAATATTCTGGAAATAGAAAGTGAAGTTCAAAGATACTTCATTGTACTTTGACTGATTAAAGTACAGGATACATGTTTGGAATATCATATACTCTTCCTAATGCTTTACAAAATCAGGTTGTACTTAAAAATATTATTCTTGTCAGTGAAAAAGTGAAAAGAGAATTAAAATTGCCTGCTTCAAGCATCTCTGGTCACTCATTTGTACTTTCTAACGCCACTAATACTAGTAACAACCACAAAATAGTCTCAAACATAACTAACAACATTGCCACCCTTCCAAAACTTCTGAGTGATTTTATGGTGTGCCTTACACAACTGGCATTAGTTGTGCGAGGTCTTTTTTTATCTCACATATTTGTGGACTCATATCTTAGACATTTGGGTTCACAAAATTCTGGGACCACAAAATTGTGAGACAAAAAGGAGGCCTCACACAACTAGCATCAGTTGTGTGAGACGCAAAATAAATTTTTTCCAAAACTTCAAATGGTTCTAGTGCCTGAACCTACCCCCTCCCTCCCCCCCCCTCTCTCTCTTCATGCCAAAAAATGAGTCCTTTAGAAACACCCTAGGTACATTGTGATCAATTAGGAAATGTCCCAACAAACTGCAACAAGAAGATTCCCACTACCAAGAAATGTTTCTGTTGTGAGAAGCACCTATATAAACCTATTGCCTGCCTACAACAAAAGCCAGTGCAGTGCCTCTTCTATAAGCTGCACTCAACATTAGTCTTTAGATTTCCTTTCTAATTTAGGAATCCATTTTAACTTACTCTATATCAATTCTCTTTGGCTTGCATTAAATGTTAATTAAGTTTGAGAAAATGGAATCCCTCAACACTCCATTTGATGATTCACAAATATCTGAAGATAGTAAAGTAGATAGAAGGAAGCAATTTGATGGTGAAGTTAAAGAACACAAATCCAAGAACCTTATTCCTGAGAGAAACAGGCGTCGAAAACTTAATGAAAGGCTTCTTGCATTGCGCTCATTGGTCCCAAATATTACAAATGCAATGAATCAGAACCCTTCATTCTTCATTTTCAGGTGTCAGTTTTCTAAAGAAAATGGATTTTTAACCACTTTCTAAAATCTTTAAATTCTTGTCTGATTACAGATGACCAAAGAAGCCATAATTACTGATGCTATCACTTACATTAGAGAGCTACAAACAAATGTGAGCAACCTAACTGAGCAGCTTCTAGAAATGGAGGCACCTCATATAGAGGAATTGGAGACAAAAAATGAAGAGATTATTGATGCTGCAGAGGTAGGTAACCTTATGTATAAACCGAAGTTACAATCTTTGTTGCTTCAGTTGAAGTTTAATTTCCTAATCTACTGCTACTAGACATTAAAACATTTTTTTTTTCTTTCTAAAATAGCCTGAAGTTGAAGTGGCTCACATTGGTACAAGTAAGCTTTGGATAAAGATAGTTTGCCAGAAGAAAAGAGGTGGATTTACTAAACTGATGGAGGCAATGAATGTTGTTGGATTTGATCTCAATGACACCAGTGTCACTGCCTCAAAAGGAACACTTCTTGTTACTTCATCTGTGGAGGTAGGAAAAAATATTGTTAAAAAAGTAAGGTTTTTTAGTAGCATTTGTTTACTTCATGTGTGTGGTGCAGTATAAGAACATATAAACAATTTGTTTTATCTTTCTATGTATTATTTCAGGTGGTTCGCGGTGGACTAATTGAAGCTCATCAAATCAGAGAGATCTTGCTGGAGATCATTCGCGGAATCTAGAAAAATGAAAATCCTTGCAGGAATTTGTTTAGCTATGGATGTCAAAAGGATTCAGTTTTTATATTTCCCATCATTGAAAAATAACAATCCCTTTATATCCAAATTGTCTTAAAAGAGCTTGTTTGAACTCTTGTTTTCAGCAGCATATCATATGTTTCTTGTTTATCATAACAGACTGTTTAATTGAGTAACAAGATTTAATTTGATATTTTACAGACAAATATCAGTAAAATATCTTCCGTCTTTGTTTAGGAAATGTCTTAACACAGATATTTAACGGTAAAGAAAGTTCAACATTTTCTTTTCTCTTTTGGAAAACATAAGAGTTAACAAAAGTTTTAACTTGGAAGAGATCAAAATTTGGACATCAACACACATTCAACAGCTGAAACTCATAATCCTGGTTAGTCATATATCAACTTTTCTAAATATATTGCTTTGCTGAGACCAACTTCTAGTAATAGAAATAAAAGGAGGGGGTACACAAATTATTTCTGGCCAATGTTTTCAAGTAACAAAGCATATTGGTGGGAGATCAATAGAGCTCCATAGGGACAATTCACTCTCATAAGCACTCTCCATCGACGAAAATGCCACTGCTTCTTCATCCTTTTTCTCAGTCATTTCAACATTGCATTCTTCACTTTCCTGGTTCTTTTTGCATGCATTTCGGAGTGTGGATAATTGCTCAGACGTTTCCCATTGCGTTACTCCACCAGATTTCATCTTCAATTTTAAACATTCTGTAATCCCATTAAAGGCATAAAGGGAAGCCGAAAACGTCCTCTCGTAATTCATCCTCCTCATTGCCTCACTTACCACTGATGTTTCTTCCCCATAAACCATCCCATGTTCCATTTTCTCTGATGATAGCTCTTCAGCTATCTCAAATGGCGAATAGTAACACGATCCAATTTCATCAAGAAACTGGAAATCAATATTGGACTCTATATCTTCTAATACATCAGTATTACTTGCCTCTCCTATCTCCTCTTCTTTGTCTCCCACTTCAATAATCTCCCCATTCGAGCTCTGAAAGTTATTGACAGGCTGAATAAAATCAGCCCAGCTACTAAAATCTGTTGTAGTTGCACTAACATTAGCGATCGTATTGCTATCAGTTACTATGTGATCATCAGGGCAATTGAGATAATCAGCGTACAGTGAATCTGAAAAATCAGATACATTTTCTCCGAATTTTTCTTGATGATTCTGCTGCTGACGACCAATTTCAGGCACGGAACAAGATTTGGATGAATCAGCAACATCAGCAGCGGTTAAGGAATTATTTCTCTCTTTGAGCCTGGTAAGAAGAATATTAGTGATTTTGGGTGGCAAAGCTGAAGTGGAAGAAGAATTGGATAAAGAACAAGGCCAGAAATTCGTGCGAGTATTGGCTCCACGAAGTAAGCAAGCAGCTTCATCGTATGCTCTTGCTGCTTCCTCAGCAGTGTCAAAAGTTCCAAGCCACACTCTTATTTTCTGTATAGTGTCTTTTATTTCAGCAACCCATCTACCTGATGGCCTTTGTCTAACCCCAACATATCTATTTCGGGCTCGTTGAGCACCGCTTTGTGTGGCTGCACCATCTGCTTCCTTTACCATCTCGTTCCAGGCTGCTGCAAGGGGCCGCGAATGGGATTAGATATTCCAGGAGTCCTAATCGTAAATGATGGTTACAGAGGTTGTGTGTATCGACCCGTGCAATAAACAAGTTTGGTGAATTGTGAAGGCGTTGGATCATGGATGTGTGCTTGTGTAGTTATTATACACAACTAAGTTGGGATGTGAATGACATATTTATATAGGGGAGAAGGAAGATCCTGTCAAGTGTCAAATGGCAAATTATTAGAGTTGAAAGGGTGCTTTTCCTGTTTGTTAAAACACATTTGTTTTATTGTTTTGGCTTTCTAATAGCAACATATGGAGGCCTCTGTTCTGATATATAGAAAACAAGAAACAAAAGGAATTAGAGAAGAGGGTTGTTAAAATATTAAGCTTAATTAATGTTATTTAATACTAGATGGTTTGACATAGCAACAGAGTGCACCTTATTATATCCTTGGATATATACTTTATTTCATAGGCTTTAGGAAAAAGAGAAGGATATTCTTGTCCTCTTCATATTTTATCTATGTATACGTTATACGTGGATTGGTTATTCGATGTTGCTAGTGGTACAAAGTTATCCCTAAATTGGTGTATAGATTCATACATACATGGATAGAAAATAGATACCAAACATGAAATAATTATTACAACTCCCTTATACCAATGATTATTTCTTCCTATACACTATACCAAACGACCACTTAGGTATCTTAAGCGAAGTTAATCACCCACGCAATAAGGGTTAAATTCTTTGTCATTCCTTATATACACGACACTCTACTGTAATTGTCTATTGATACTCAAATGACATTCACGTACGTAATCAGAATTTTTTTTTTGGTGCAAAAAATATGATATTATATAATATTAAAGTAGAACGTTACAAGGAGCCGGAGGCATCAAACACAACATCCTAGGGGGACGACCTCTGGATGAACCGTAACAAAAAGGGGGTTCTGGGGGTAAACTAATTGAGGCCGTTCCTGATGAAGTCATTCTTGTTTAAGTAGATTAAATAGATGGATAAATTTAATTAGTTTTAAGCTTTCAAAAAATTAGTGCATAGTTACTTACCATTTCGACCGCAAGTCAAATACCATCTAAACTGAATATCTATATTTGCTTAATTACATATGTTTGTTATCATCAATGTGCTCTTGTTATGCCCATCTCCAATTTGTACAGAAAGTTGTACGTTTTGGACAATTTTTTGAAAGAGATTTTTGAGGTTGTTTTTTTGGTAGAATTTTTTTATTGCGAGTAGGGGAGTGAGCACAAACAGTACAAAAACAAGCTTGTACTAAAACAAGAAGGCAAAACAAAGAGTTGGAAATGCCCTTTTGTGTTTTTAATGGTGGTTTTGTTTATTTGATTCGTTTCTTTTCATCTGCTGTGGAGTTGCTGATTCCTTCAACAAGGCCACTCTAAGCCCTCCAAATGGAAGTTCAAAAACAATCCCAATCTTTTCTAGTGATTCTGAGGTATGCATATTCCCTTTAGCAAACAATGAATATTTTATTTTGATGGAAATAATAATGGAGAACGACTCAACTTCTACTAAAAATTCAGTTTGGTCTTTTTTTTTTTGAAAAAAAAAACTCAATCATATGTACAAGGGATTAATAGTGGTTACTCTCTTATAGCCCGTTTGGCCAAGCTGCAAAAATCAGCTTATTTCAAAAAGTATTTTTTCTCAAAAGTACTTTTAGCGAGAAACATTTTGTGTTTGGCTAATTAATTTGAAAATCATTTCTGAGCATCAATTAGTGTTTGACCAAGCTTTTAAAAACTGTTTCTACGTATATTTTTCTCAAAAATGTTTTTCACAAAAATACTTTTGAAGAGAAGTTACTTTTTTTTGCTTCTCCAAAACTGCTTCTGCTTTCGCTTTTCCGCAAAAGCACTTTTTTTTTTCTTTCAAAAGCTTGGCCAAACAATCCAACTTTGAAAAAAAAAATACTTTTAAAAAAGAAAAGAAAAGTGCTTCTAGAATTGGAGAAGCTTGGCTAAACATACTACTATTTTAACTCTCAAAACCTATCAATTGGAAGCGAAAGTGTCTCACCAACTGAATCAATCCTTCTCGATTAAGAGATTCAAGTGGAAGCCTCAGATTCATTGTAACTAGCTTTTCTTGATTTTGGCCTAACTCAATCCAAAAACTAACTCATGAGTTAAGAATTGCTCAAGATCATATAAAGAATCGAAAAACTCCATACCCAATCGAGGGAAACCAAAACCCTTATGAAAGAAAACTTTGCCTTTAAAAATATTCTACTTCAACACAGACCTATTACTTAGATTTGTTTATATGAGTTATCAACATTTATTCAGCTCTATTTGGGCACAGTTTGCCAATACTACAATAATATGGTGATTTCAAAATTCATCTTCTACTAAATGTGCCGTATGATATATTAAGGAGATAGTATGGACACGTACTTACTGATTCCTTTGATGGCCGGACTAGAATGTTCCCCGGCCAAGTGTATATACACTTACAAAATCACATCATTTATGTAAATATATCTACCCTTATGAATTGCTAAAAGCATTGAGTACACCAAATTAAACTAGTTGCATAAATACAAATACTCCCTCCTTCCCATTTTAGTTCAAATATTTATCCCAAAATAACTGACACTTTAGGATTTTAAGACTAAATTTATTAGTTGCTTCCAATTATAACCTTAATATAAAAAGAGTAATACTCCCTCCGGTCCACAATAAGTGACCAATTTACTTTTTTATTCTGGTCTGAAATAAGTGTCCATTCATATAATTAAGAAAAAATTCAATTTGTTTTTTCAAAATTACCCTTATGTACGTATCCCTAAAAAGTCATTTACTCCTCACATTTGAGAAGAGAAGTAAGTGCTACTATAACTTGTTGTTCCTCCTGTATTTGTAAAATAATGATTATGGAAATTAAAACGTTAGCTTATGATATAAATGAAACACAAATTAATTTGAGCCTACTGAATTCACAGTGTTTCCTTAAGGAATTTAATCCCCTCCTAGTACCCAAGGTTATGGATTATTTCCTCTCAGGATAGAACGCATTACACATTGGTGTAGCGGTACTTCAAACCCCAATGTTTCAGCGAACACAAAGTTCGGCAGCAAATCACACTTACTATTACTTTCTTAGTAGTTTAAAACAATGCAGAACAAGGGAGGAGAAGTCAGAAATTCGTATGGAAAATCTGAGAGGAAGGAGTGCAAAGTATAGCTAACGTTGAGTTTTCGGTGAAGAGAAGATCAATTGCTCTTAAGTTTTCAGTGTATCTTCAACAGGCTGCTTGCACCCTCTATTTATAGTGCAATTAGCTGCTAAAAATGGACCCGCTGCCACTCATGAAGTGGAGCACTTGGCCATGGTGGACAGAACACCAGGCTGTTTACTAATGGAGCAATCAATATAGCAATGGTGGCTGGAGCACTACTCGTGGTGGAATGAGCACTTCNAAGCCGTAGCCGAGCCGAGCGAGCGACGACGATGGCGCGAGGCTTGCCTTCTTCCTAACTCTTTAAGAGCTACATGAATTGCATTTGTATATAAAACCACCAAACTCCTTTTCCTCTACCAATGAGGGACAATGTCTCATTAAAAGGAGA